TGGCTGATGAAATGCCACTACTGGCCCTTCTGGCCCTTCTGGAGACACCAGTTGACGTCTTACGTACAAGCGGCGAAGTCGATTCGATGAGTCCCAAGCACCTCATCACCAGGTTTCGCACGTAACCCCTGGCCAACCGGCCAACATGGGCATGAACAGCGAACGGATAAGCGGCTACGGAGTATGCCGTGCGTGCAGAAATTAAAAAAAAAAAGGGTATTTTTCGTCTTGTGCTACTGGATGGAGCAAGTGTTGCATTGTTATGTATCTGTTTTCACACCGAAGTAATTTGGAGTTGCGGTGACAACATTTGAACTGCCAGTTTCACCCAGTGGTATACTGTACGGAGTACTCGAGGCCCAGTAGTTCTCCGCACCTGCATAGAGGCACCAGACCTGAATACTCCGTGTTATTACGGAGTATAGCGTCTGGTTTAATGTTGCATATCCCAATATTGCCCCAGGCCACTGCCACTTCCCTGCCACTCACTCCCCTGTCTGGTCCTTCTTGCATGAACAAGACACTGGGCCAAAAAAAAAAAAATTAAAAAATTAAAAAATTCTCCATATTGAACTAATGTTTCCGCCCTTCCGAAACTGGGCTTATGAGTCTAGCCATCCGCCCCGGATTTTCTCTAGCGGGATCCCTACAGCTGCTATTTTTACACCGCCCAAGCAAGCACAGAGTCAGGGTTTGTTGTTGTTGTTGTTGTTGTTGTTGCTGCGAGTGGGCAAGGCCCTCGCTCGTCACAGCCTCGATCCGAATGTTGCGTGCATTCGAAATGTTGTGCGACTCCGGCAATGACACTCGCTTGCATTCGAACGTTACATTTCTACTACTATTACACGTATGTATACATGTGTATGATGTGACTCTGTAATGCAACGTCGATTGAATATCAGGTTCCTGAATTGTATTCCTTGTGTCGACTGCACCTGGGTGGATGAGGCCGGCGATTGCTGCGAAGACGGAAATATCGGCCATGCAGCAGAGATGACCATGAATTGCAACTTGAGAAGATACAGAGTACTTGGCCCAGGTACGTTTTATGGGAGCTTGAGTACCGAGTGCCGAGTTGCATACTCCGTACATACATAATACATGGAATTCTCAAAGTCCATGTGGCATCATGCACTCCGCTCCGGCTGATTATCATGGCGACGCCATCAAGGGACCGGGGCAAGTCCTTTTTTTTTCTTTTCTCCTTTTTGTTACTGTTTTTGAAGCATTTGCATTTTTCATCTGCCAATTGCGTACCATATGCAGCCAGGATGACATATCAGATGGCTCGATCTGCTCAGTATCACCAGCATCACCATGACCTCCTTTGGTCATCGTGTCCCGTCAGAGGGGCACGCGACCTCCCGCAATGGATTTTCTCGCGTAAGCATTATATGGTGCCTTGGTCACATATGCTCTTTGATTTCTAAAATAGAAGCAGCCTAGGCTACGGAAACATTATCCATAGGTGGAGGATTATGTGGTGCTTGACCCCAATCCTCATCGGCCATGCCGCGACGCCGTTTGCCTCCAGCCATAGCGCTCGGGATTTGCTCCATGGCGCCGTGGACGCCCGAAGATTGAAACTTTGCAGCAGCCAAAATGCGCCACAGCATGATGCTCCTGCGTAATTTTGGCTCGACAGTTGGTGTTGGTGGTCACGATGCCTTCATGGCCGGCAGGTGACAGCTCACAGGGGTGTGTTTATTCGGCTGTCCCCAAACAAGACCATTCATCAATAATGTTCAAGGGAGGAATTCAAATCCCTCCGCCAACATTCTCCTCGTCTGCCTCGCCACCACGGAGAGGCCATGTGCCCTGCCGTGTTCGCGTCGGCGATTGCAAAATGGGGGCATGCGAAATTATCCAATCTCTCTCATTCGCGCCCGACGATGCCAAATCTTGGGGTCCAAGGCAACGGTAGTTGAAAAACAATTGCCATGTACTCAACTCATCCATGCTGGTCCACGACAAGTACCTTTTGTCCATAATTCGGTTCTTTTTATGGTTAGAATTGGCCTTTATTTTACACTATTCGTACACCCTAGCCCAGAGCGAACGCTCCGAGCTCCCTGCTTTAGGACCCAACAACGAGGCATTGCAAACCACATGACTATGCGCAACCCGTGATTCCTATCACGATTCCTTCTTTCAATTTCGCTTCTCGGCTTTCAATCCCGTTCATGCATACTAGTAGTCTTTTGATATGAAACAATTTGACACCGGGACATATCCTCAACATACAGAACTAGTCTACTTTCTTACCATTCAAAAACGCGGATAAATGAGTACCAAATGAATCAGCCAGGAATTGTTTGGGAAGCACCGCTAGTGCCACAGATTGATACCAGCACATACCCCCGGTGTTGTAACTACCCGTTATCTGAATTGGTGATCCGGGTCAGAGTTGCATCAGCTCCTGTCAAACCAGCCTCATGCATGCACGTACCGGATCGAAGCAGCTTCCGCATGAGCTACATCTTCACAGGTGGCCGCCTAGGTTCAGGCCAATGAAATACCACACTCGAAAAAAAAAATTGCGACTGATGGCAATAGATTTTGTCGTTCAATTGGAGAAGGGGACTCGCCATCGGTATGCATTTTTACGATTCCCAGAGTCTCAAGTTGACGAACTCGAGCGACGTTTAAATACCCTACACCACCATCTGGAATGAACTTACAACTTACAGCATCTCTTTCATTACCACTGACACGAGTGCATTACACATGCACGCTATTTATTTATTTATTCTTTCTTTTTTTTGTGTGTGTGGCAAAAATCCCTTTCTGAAATACATTGGCAAAGTCGAGGGCTATCTACTAGTAGTTGAAGATATCAGCGAACCCATCTAGCCTATGTCATCCCACGTTCACGTTCCAAAGAACTGCAAGGTACAGATGAATTACGCCTAATAATGTGGTTCGTAGCCAATCAGGTTGTACGATTGGTCCGGACCTATGCTTCGCAGAATATCCAGGACCAAAGCCACGCTTCCTCCATTCGCAGCTTTCCGGCTTCAGTGAAGCACAAGTATAAAAGACATTATGATTCTCAGGATCCGCAAAGTTCTCTTTTGTAACATTTAGTTCTTTTTGGCAGTAAAAGTCGTACATCCTCAGTCTCCCGAGAGTTACCAGGCTCGCAACCTTAGTTGTGTGGAACCCTGGCACGTGACGTCTCATTTCCTTACCTTCAGATGAGAGCAACACCCTGGTCAGTCGGGCCAGGACCAGCTCGGAGCCAAAAATTTTGAGTACGGAGCACCCGTGACGCAGTTCTCCAAATCAACGACCACACGCCCATATCGCGAACATCAGCAGGCAGTCCGCATCACACCCAAGTGGCTAGTGCGGTCCCATATCAGCGACTGTGTATCATTTCATTCCCATAGTATACTTTTCCACGAGCTGCTTGCGCCTTCATCGCCTTTCTCGTTGATCGGGGAGTCTTGCAGTCAACAGACGCTGTCCGACCGCTTCACGACGACACAGTTTTATCTGTAGCCATTCTCCTTACCCGCCAAAATGGTTACTCTCACCGAAGTTGAGGACGAGCATTTCCAGTCCTCCCAGGCTGGCCCTGATGTCGATGACGATGACTTCACTGACACTGGTTCGTTCCCATCACCACCAAATATTTCAGGAGATTGAAACAGAAGCATTTTGGCTGACGAACCCTCGTTAGACTCTGAGATTTCCAATGACTCCGACTACGACCCCGCCAATGAGACCCTAGCAGAACGCCTGTATGCACTTCGAGATATTGTCCCCCCGACAACAAGAGGTTGGATCTCCAGCCGTGTCAACTCCATTTCCAGCAAGGCTTGGAGCGTATTGTCATTCAGTGGCAAGGGTGCTTGGGTCATTACCACCTCTGCCCTATTCTTTGGCGTACCTTTTGCTTTGTCCTTTGCCGAGGATCAGCAACTTACTGCCATGGAGCAGGAGTACAACATGCGACAGACCGGTAGCGAGCTGCTGACCGCCGGCTCCGAGCAGAACACTGCTGATAAAGTTGGAGCCGCCCTGGGTGACGGCCAGGCTAAGCCATCGCTGTAAACTCGTCATTATAATTGGATTATGCCGGAATTTCTTGAGACATTGTGCGCCCCGGCGACAATCTCTGCCACGAGCCAAATTTAAGAGGACATGCTGATAGCGCCTTTTTCTGTACAATACTGTGTCGGGACAAGAGCTGGGAGTTTCACGTCGCCGCTTGATGGAACACGAGCGACTGGGAAACCAGCCTTGGTAATAGAAAGGCGAATTGGGGTGGGAAATGAAAATAGGGGGGGGAATACGGGAGTGGATTTTTTTCCATCTTGATTTCAATCTCATCTCCTATGACGGGCAGGTTCGCATGTATTTTGTCGCTGTACCTTAGACTTTGATTCTCTGACTTGTACCATGTGGATAATGAACACCAACACTCGCGGTGAAAATCTCCATCTGTGTCGGATGTCACCTTGAGCAGCGGCTCTTCATGTCTGTACTATCGCTGTATTTTGTTGTTGAAAAAGCCGAAGCCTGCATCCAGTGAAACTCAACTGATGGGCGTTCTTCGGCCATTGTAGATATCAAATCACAGGATATGAGTAAAGCCACACGCCAAGTCGAACGAATACTGAAGCTTGATGAGTATCGCCCAGCTAAATGTAGGGTAGCATCGACTCGGGCGGGGTGTCGTCGACTGGAAAGGCGTGCTTCGGCGACTTTCCTCGAAAATTACCTCGTCTAACCAGTCAGAGTTGAGTGCAAATTTGACTCGCAATGGACTACGTACTGTTACCAAAAATTGAGGTAAGCTTGTATGGACAGGAAGAGGACGAATCACGACCTGAGCCCCAACTTTGCATAAGGGGCCGAGTGATGCTAACCTTTGAACTTGGCTATAGCTACATGCCCACCTGACTGGAAGTGTTTCATGCTCAACGTTACACGAGATTTGGAAAAGGAAGAAAGCGTCGGGTCAAACTGATCTAGAAGACCCGCGGCTAGTTATGCGCGAGGGCAAACACGACTATAACCTTCAGACGTGAGTGACTGTTGCCAACTCTCCACCGCAAAGTCCAAGGCATCGTAGCATGCTTAGATTGCAGATAGTGTTTGCCACGTTTGTACGTGACGTGCAATGGTATGGCGGAGTATTGCAACATGGTACTACCCTCGCTTGAAATGGCGTATTTGCCCTCTGGACCGCCAAGTTTCCGTGCGAGACTAATGGAGGGCTTGCAGTTTCTTCCCACTCTTCAGCAGCTACATCTACAATCTTCTCACGGACGAAGAATCGATTCGCTACGCGATAAATAGTGTGCTACAAGACTTCCTGGCCGATGGCGTTGTGTATCTAGAGCTGCGCACCACTCCGCGATCTACAACCACCATGTCTGCAGAGGCGTATATCACAGTCCTCCTCGGTGCTATTGAAGAGTTTGAAGCGCTGCACCCCCAATTGCACACTCGGCTGATATTGTCCATCGATCGCCGCCATTCCATTTGTACAGCAGAATCTATCCTTGACCTCGCAATTCGTCTACAAAACACAATTGGGTGCGGCGTTGTTGGCATCGACTTGTGCGGAGATCCCACTGTTCGTCCCGGGGGGCAAGTTGCCGTCTTTACTCCCGTCTTTGAGCGGGCCTCTAGAGCCGGGCTGGGAATTACTGTTCATTTTGCAGAAGCAGAGGCCAGTGGATCTCACGGTGAGCTCCGCACGCTGCTTTCCTGGAATCCTGGCCGATTGGGACATGTAATATGGGAGGACGAGGAAGCCAGGGAGGTAATTGCAGAAAGGGAACTGTGCCTGGAGCTCTGTCTGAGTTGCAATGTGCAGGCGGAAATGGTCCATGGGGGGTTTGAAGGCCACCACTTTGGGCATTGGAAGGACGTCAAGGGCCCCAGGATTTCGCTAGCGGTAAGTCTCGATAGCCTGTCCATGTCTCTGCGTAATCCCCAAATGGAGAGGAGTCAGGTAGATGGATGTAGACGAAACTGACAAAGGCCCTACTAGACGGACGATGTAGGTGTGTTTGGGAGCCCCCTTTCGAACGAATACCGACTAGTGGCCGAACATTTCCATCTCGACCGTCCTCAGATATGCGCCTTGGCTCGGCAGGGAATCGAGGGCATATTTGCCGGAGAGCAAGAAAAACAGCGATTGCGGGATATTATGTGGAAAGAGTGACGGCAACGGCAAACTTGGCCATCCCGATGGCACAGAATATGTTCAGAACGAAATTTGAACTTGTGACTTTGATAAACAATAGTGTTAAATCGTATGCAAGTTCGAGCTTCCCATTTCGGGAACTACCTGCGCAAATCGGTACCTGGGTAGTCACGTCCAATGTTCATTTTCGATTCATGTTGGATGTCGTATCCAAGGCTGCAATTTAGCGCGCGATGACACTCATGTCGTCCCGCTGTGGCACCCAAAGAAAGGCAGACAGCCAGTTGAACCGCGGCTGCCAAGCCAACCAGCGTCAACCCTGGCTGGCTTTGCCGCAGCCTGCACCTAGGTGGGAGGAGCGGCGGCGACAAACCACATGCACTTCCTTGATCTCGACTAGGCAACCTTCATGTCGGCCTGGCGTACATGTGCCACAGCTCGCGGCAAGAATATTTTGCGACAAATTCACAGCCTCTGAAAATTGACCTGTCGCTGCGGGAACAAGGTCGTGTCGTTCTCAGCAGGAACCATGAATGTCCGTCAACACCAACTGCTTGCCGGTGGCGGTCTTCGTCAAGGCAGGAGAGTGCGTGGCTAACCAAGAACCTACAGATCCTCGAATGGGCCTTTGGGAAGCGCATGACGCCGGCTGAGCGTCTGCGCAAGAATCAGCGAATGCTCGACAAGGCGATCCGAGAACTCGACCAAACGCGCGTCAAGCTGGAGAAGCAGGAGAAGACACTGATACAGCAGATCAAGACCAGCGCCAAGAATGGGCAGATGGGCGCTTGCAAGATCCAGGCCAAGGACTTGGTCCGCACGAGGCGGTATATCGAGAAGTTCTTTTCGATGCGCAGCCAACTACAAAAGATTTCATTACGGCTCCAGGTACGACGAGTAATTCATAATTTATATATATACATACGCGGGAATAGCTGGGAGGATTCACTTTTATGAAGAGAAAGGCGACGGCTGACACGAGACACTTCCAAAACAGACGTACCGGACGAACGAACAAATGATGCAAGCCATGAAAGGGGCCACGATGGCCTTGGGGAGTATGAACAAGTCAATGAACTTACCCCAGCTCCAGCGAATTGCCATGGAGTTTGAGCGAGAAAACGACATCATGGAGCAGAGGCAGGAGATGATGGATGACGCCGTCGACGATGCCATGGATGTTGGTGTCGAAGAAGAGGGCGACGAAGTGGTTGAACAAGTCTTGGAAGAAATCGGCATTGATTTCAACCAATCCGTACGTTATGCCCCAACACAGCACATTTTTGACCCTTTATTTTGCCGTAGATTGCCAAAGTAGCGAGTGGGCTGACGTACCTGGCAGCTTGGGGAGACGCCAACGGCAATAGGCAACCCTGCTATTGCGGAGGGCAAAATTGCACAGGCTGTTGGCGGAGGGAGCGGTGGCGACCCAGTTGATGATGACCTTCAGGCCCGACTTGATAGCCTGAAGAAGTAAAGGAGCGCGATTATCAACTTCGGTGCGCGAGGCATTATTTTACTATGCATCTATTCCGTGCTCTTTCACGGACGACAACTATGGGAGAGGCTGGGCGATTTTTCCTTTTTGCCATCTCTCTCTTTTTTTTTTCGACTGAGGCGTTTTCGAGTTTTAGAGAGACGAAAGATGATGCTTTTTTGTGGTATGCCGGTCCAGTTTGCCCCCCGGCAGTTGTAAGCGTTGTTTCTCGCATGGTAGCTTGCGGGCTGGAATATATCTTGGTTTCATGCTGTTGGCAATTTTGGGATTATCAAATGTGAAACCAGCAAACCAGGTCCAGAACAAAGAGCGTCGTGGCAACAATCTGAGCGCAGAGGGACGTGAATGCGTCTCGCTAATGCCCCGGTTGACCATGAGTTGATTGACCGCTAATATTCCGAAGAACCCGCGAGCTGTTGTCGTGTAGATGCCGCCTGGCATGACCTCGTGCGAACAGGGGGCTGTTTTTTTTTCGGGGGGGCGGCAGGGGAAACAAGACATGTCATCATTATGAAGGACAGACGGAGCAAACTTTGAAGACGGACTGACTACTGTAGACTTTATTTACTATGGACATGGGATTTCAGGGAATGGAACCCATTGATGCTCTGCAGATGCCTGGAGGCCGGTCGGTACATTTGGTAGAGTGATGGGAGGGAGCACTGGAAGGGCGTGCCATGCTGAATGTAAAAGTGTCTGGTTCCAATTGTCAGTTGAACAGAACACGGACCAGTTGAGCATGCCCTTGTCGGAACACGCTGTTATCAACGGACTGGAGCGATTGCGCGCCGAACGGCACTTGGTAACGCGTTCAGACTACGGAATGGCCGTGCCCCAATCAATCACTTGTCACTCCCGACTCGACTTAGCTTGACGCGGAGCTTCTAAGCCACTTTGGCTGGGTTCAACAAGGTGACGTCGTCTGGGTCCAGGCGCCAAACGCCAACAGGAGCCGGCGGAGAGAGACATCTGGAGCTCCTCAATACTCGATAATAATAGAATAATAACAATGCCTATACACATACCCAAATAGGGACCTAGGTATGTGCATGTTGGTCATCTTCTCCTGCCCTAGGTACCTAGGTACCTGGTATGCACTCCGTACTTATTTAGTAATTCCCCCCCAGCTGCCCAGCCAGCTGCCCAGAACCCCGCCAGAGCCTCCCGGATGCCAGTCCGCCACCAACTTTAGAACTGAGAAGGACCCCTCATTTGCTCACTTGAGCACGGGTCAGGCGCGTCCATTGCTCCTGCATTTCATCCAGCGCTAGCACCCGTCGTCGCCCAGCCCAATCGACCAACCCAGTCGACAGTTGGACCTTGGTCACCGTCACCCAGACGTCGTTTTAACGACGAGTCTCTGCCGACACCTACACACCCTCACCACTGTTCCTCAGTTTGTCCAACACCGCCTTCACCAGCGAGACGGCCATCATCATACGGCCTCATCCCGATAGTAGAACACGCCATCGGGCTGTTGCCTCTCGTATTGCGTCGTTCCAGTCGAACCTTTTGCTACCCAAGCACTGGTTGACACCGCCGCACTTTCCTGTCACCGTCACGCCCGGACGGCCCTGTTCACGCCGCTCTGCTTGCTAGGCATTCTGGTATGTCGTCGTCGTTGTAACCACGGCGTTGTTCGTTTTTTTCTTTTGGTGCCTTTTCTTTAGCTCTGCCATCGTTTTGTCCGACGCCGACGCCGTCACTCGTGTCGTGGCGATTCAACCGGAGCAAACATTCAGACTTGCCTGCGCAACATTCATCGAGCTTAACCGCGAGCATTGATTGTTTGGCTGCTGTTTCTCGCCTATACTACCGGGCGCTCCCTTGGACGCCATTTTTAGGCATTGGACGCCACCCTTCCCCCCTCCATTGTCACATTTACCATATAACTTATGCCACCTCCTCACACTGCATCTACAACATTTCTAACTTCTATCAATAGCTGCCCTGGCCTCTTCGCATTTTGAACCGTCATTATACGCCCAAATTCCGTACTTTCGCTGCTATTTCCTCCCGTGACCAAGCATAATCTAGAGCTACTACAGCAACTCACCAGATTCGAGTCCTACTCCCCTCCCCCTTTCCCCCCCGACGAGGATTATTTTGGGTTCAGTCGTCGTACATTGTTTTCTCATTTTCCATTGTTTTATATACTCAATAAATCCTTCGACTGTCTTTGACGGCATCCGGGTCTTTGTTACGTTCTTGCTCAACCCAACACTTCCTACCCAGATTCTTGCCTCACCTCCACAAAGCTGGCAGGCAACAAGCGCCGCAGTCTCTCCTCTCAAGGAGGAAGCCTGCTGAATAGAATGTTTGGCGGGAGTCCCAATTCTCCAGGATTAAAGACAGAGAGCGAACCGAAAGCTGAAACAAAGCCTCCTTCGCCTGGCTCAAGTCCCAAAGCCAACTCTCTGGCTCCCATCAAAACGACTATTACCTCGCCTGCAAGCGGCGAGAAACGAAGTGGCAATGGCAGCACCCGCTGTAATGACACGGGGGGCTCTACGGATAAGAAACGTAGGAGTAGCGGTGTCGGGAGTAAAGCGAGTAGCTTCCTTGCATCGGCTAAGAATACCTTGAACTTCTCCCAGGTCGGTCGTGGAAACTCCGATCTGAGTGCTCAGACGCCTTTGCAGAAGTTGGGTAAGCAAGATCCCGCCTTGGCAGTCCCCCAGGGCCAGCATAACAATTCCGCGGGCGAATCGTTACCCGGCCCGAAGTCTACATTCCGAGTCGGCGTTTGGGAAGATAGGAACAAGAAATGTCGTCGGACCATGGAAGACACCCACGCATTCTTGTACAATTTCTTGGCGACTCCTCAGCCTAATAGCGACGCCCCGTCCAAAGCCAAGTCCGAGAAGAACGACCCCGAAGGAAATGGCAACGACATGTTGGAATCCGACAACGGATACTTTGCCATCTTTGATGGCCATGCTGGCACTTTTGCTGCTGACTGGTGCGGGAAGAAGCTCCATCTTATTCTCGAGGATGTTATTCGAAAGAATCCAACTGCGGCTATACCGGAGTTACTAGATCAGACCTTCACCACGGTGGATACACAGCTAGAAAAACTCCCACTGAAGAATAGCGGCTGTACGGCTGCCATTGCCGTGTTGCGATGGGAGGATCGTGTGTCTAATGAGAAATCTGCTGCGGGGTCGACAAAACAGACACCCAAGACGAACGAGGCAAACAACCCTGATAAAGACAAGCCATCTAATTCGCCGCGTGGCCGTACTGCTTCTGCCTCATCCACCGACACTCAGCTGAAGCCGAAGCCACCCACCACCAGGCAACGCATTTTATACACGGCTAATGTCGGCGATGCTCGCATTATCCTATGTCGTGGCGGCAAGGCGTTGCGGCTGTCATATGACCACAAGGGAAGTGACGAAAATGAAGGCAAACGGATTGCCAATGCCGGCGGACTGATTCTGAATAATCGTGTCAACGGCGTTCTGGCAGTGACCCGTGCACTAGGTGACGCATATATGAAGGAACTTGTCACCAGCCACCCATACACGACAGAAACTGTTATACAATCTGATACGGATGAATTCATCATTATTGCATGCGATGGGGTAAGTGAAATTCCTGAGTGGAATAGGCTGCTTTAACTGGCTAACTGGATTCCTTTCTTATCAGTTGTGGGATGTTTGTAGCGACCAGGACGCTGTCGACCTGGTTCGGGACGTCCAAGATCCAATCACTGCGTCAAAACAGCTGGTGGATCATGCGTTGAGTAGATTCAGCACCGACAATTTGTCCTGCATGATTGTTCGCTTTGATAAGACTGCCACGGTAGCTCAAGGCGTGAGTACTAGTGAGAGTGAAGGCGGATCGGACCGCAGCGCGGCGGCCAGGTTCAGTGAAGCTGAGAAGATCGTATCGGACACCAAGCAGGCAATCGCCGAAGGCACCGTGCCTGCAGTTGGAGTGTCTGCCAGCAACAGCGGTCGGGGATATGACACGATACCTACAGAGGGAGGAGAATTTATTGTGACTACGCTGAGTGAGTCCGTCGAGGAGGAGACAGAGAGTGCTGTTGCGGAGGACGACAGCCCCGAAGTGTCAACAAAAGGCAAAGACGCCCCAGAGACGGCAGAGGCTGCAACAAAGCCTGATGAGGGATCCGAGAAATGAAGGCACTTGGCGTGCTAGTTGCGGACATGCACACGTCTGGTTAGGCATGACATTGGTATGACGGCAGAGAAGAGACGACGGGCAAGTTGAAATATGTCTTCAAATTAGCAACACATTTGCTGCTTTCAATGATATTTGCATTATGAGTTTTTGTTTCTGAAGTTCGGTATTTAGGCTCGGTGTGCCGTTTCGGCTCGACTCGACTCGACTCGACTTGACTTCTAGTGAAGGGACTGTAGAACCACCCAGGTAGCCATGACGTATGGATGAATCGGGCATAGGATCTTCATGTTGGCCATGCACTTGTTTGGCCTCAGAGGCTATTTGCAGTCGTTGAATGATTTTCTTTTTGACAGCAGTTGGCAATCAACAGCCTATTAATATTATTACAAGGGACTGAATGAGCGGATGGGGCTGGCTTTGGGTGATGTCGGCGCTTTGACGCTTTTCTTTTCGTCATTCATTCATTCTCATTCATCTCCCCCTTCCCTCCTCCTCCTTCTTCTTTTTAATTTTTTTTCTTTTTAAATGTTGATGCACAGAACAACTAGTAGCCAGCTCCCTGGATCCTGAGGTGGCAACGTCAAGAAAAGATGGTGGCGTTTGTGTGGAGGACATGGCGTGCACGGGCGATTGCACGACGACAAAGCGCCAAATAACATTGAACTGCTAACTACCTAGGTACCTAGGTAGGCACTAGTAGTAGGTAGTGTTGTCATGTCTGATAGGAACGTTGGGGATTGGTAGTGCAGCGATTTCCACTGCGTCCAGCTTCGTAAGGCTACGGCACCAAGACACCTAGTATTTAAGTTATTTATGTACCAAGGAGG